CGTTTCCAAAGAAGGTTGGGAGCAGTGACACTCGATGCCACCTCCCACGAGCAGCACAGTCGGCGGGTTGTCATGGGGCAGGTGCAGCTCGGCGCTGGAGAACGGGCGCAGATCTTGAAGGGAAAGGTGTTCTTGGTGACCTGGGCCCTACCTTCCCCGTGTGGGTGGGGTGCTTCTTTCGTATACGTCCCCACCTCCAGTTTGGACACACGTGCCCACAAATCCAAGGTTTTCCTGGCCCTCAAAACATTTCTCATGTTCATTTTTATCCCAAAGACTCTGGATGGAAAGCTTGAACCAATTCATTACAGAGCCATATTGCTTTGTTGTCTGGTTTTGTGAATTTGATGAAGTGGGGGATTTTTCTCGGCTTAGAGACCTTCTCAGGCTGTGAATGCTCAGAGACCCCAACAGTACTGGCTTAGGATGAGAAAGATTCTTGGGATTCTTTTCCGTTGATCAGAGTAGTGCTTAAAATCAAGAACGTCAGCACTCCCGGGTCCCTCAGTCTCCATACTGAAAAGGGACAGGGCTCGTCCCCTCAACCTTGGCACCTAAAGGCAGAGAGAGGGTTCCCCTCCCTGACTCACATAACCCTGGCTAGGCAGAGCACAGAGTTTAATGAACATGGAGGTGCAGGTCTTGGCTCCCAAGAATTTACGACTTTATTCTCAAATTGACCAGTCCCCTTTGGGATTATTATACCTATTTTAGTGATGGAAACCCAAGGCACAGAGAGTCGAGGGATTTGCCTGATGACAGCTGGGGTGCAGCCAGGCGAGCACAGTGTCCAGGAGTCTGTCTATTTTGCGGGGCGGGGCCCTCTCCAAGAGCCCCTGCAGCCTGTTTGCTGAAGGTGCTCAGGGGTTTGTACGGGGTACTGTTCAGTTTTGCCCTCAAATGCAGCACATCTTCATGAGCCTATTTCCAGGCCTGGTTGTTCCCCTTAACCAACCTCTCGACCCCAGCTGCTCCCCAAGAAAAAAGAACCTTTACTTTTCTTGCTCAGTGCACTGCCAGGTGCATGTAGCCCAGTACAGCAGGCTCAGCTGAACTCAGTAAATAGGAGCTGAAGTCTTGTGAGCACCTCAGTACCTGAGCCTTTATCATCAGAACAGGGCACAGATGGCCCTGTTAGTTTGCATGCTTTGGAAGCCAGTGCCACCGATCACAAGTCCAGCTTTGCACATTCTGGAAGAGTCTGCTCCTAGGCAAAGGTGCACACTGGAGATATGCCCAAATCTGCTAGTTGAACGGGCTAAAATATGGTGAAAGGCTACTTGGGATGGGTCATTTCCCCTTCTAGGCACCCTGTGAGTTTAGCAAGTGTGTCATCTTGGGAAGCAGGGTTTAACCAGCTCCTCAACCTCAGCCCTGCTCTGCAGGACAGTCCTGTGGCTCTGGACACCACTGGCCTCATGGTGCTGTGCAAGCAAGTCTGCTTAACAGCAGTATTCTCAGAAGCTTCTGGGCCCAAAGGGCTGCCAATCCTTTGAGTTAGAATTTGCCATTTGGCATCCCTTTAGGTTACTGGTTTGAAATCTGTCCCGACCCGCGGGATATTCAATGAGGACCCTGGAGGGGGGAGTGGGAATTGGATGGGACAAGAGACATGAGAAATGGAGACAAGACAGTATTCTGATCAAGTCTCGTTTATTAGCCAGAAGGTCACAGCTTATATAGCCAGCAGGAGGGAATCAGCAGATAAGGAAGTATGCAGATATTTTCTGGGAAAAAGCACAGGGCAAATCGTTCCAGGAAATGGAACATTTCTCAGCTATCTAAAGCAAAGCAGTGGTGATCTATGCCTACGGCTGTGCAAGCAGTAAGAAGGAGAAAATGGCGGAAAGGTCACAGCATTTATATCTTTAGTGTGAGAAGGCTATTAGCAGGACTTCATGACCCTGGGCAGGCTATGACTGGGCTCTTTGGCCCCGGACAGAAATCTGCTTCACGAAAAGCTTTTAATTTGGGGATTTTCAAAGTTGAGTGTTCGGGGGGTTTTTTTTGTTGGAAACAAATTCATTTGGTCAGTAATTATCAGTGAGTTTAGCTTCTGCGCCTGCCACACACCCACCGAGGTCAGCATGCTGCACTGGTGTCCCCAGCACCCAACGTGGGGCCCGGTGACCCTCTGGGTGGGAGACCAAGTGGATGCCTTGACAGAGATTGAAAACCTCAATTAGTGCCCCTTTGTAGGGGAGTGGCCTGCAGCTCACCTCCTTCCTATACCTGCTTTTATACACTCTGCAACTTTATGGTCTAACAAAAGGTTTGAATGACACCAGCGGTTGTCTTACCAAGTAAGATTGGCTTCCCACGATGCCATGCAAGGAACATTTTGCAGGATCCTGCAGACCACGGTGTGGGAAAACAGCTTTGCATAGATGTTGTCCATTTGTTTTCTCTCTTTTTCTTTCTTCTGACCCCGGTAAGCTGCAAACATCTCGTATTGATAAACCGTGTAAAGAAATCATGCATTTTATGCCAGGGTGTGCTGGTTCCTGGCTCTGCCTATGAGTTGACTCTGTCGATGATCTCAGGACCCAAAGGAAGCAGGTCTAGCCAGCTCTTCTGAAGCAGTCCCAGTAAGCAAAGAGTGCCTCTTATAGTGACCCATGTGAGATAGTTCCAGGTCTCCTTTTGGGTTTCGGTGACAGATACCCCAAGAAGGTGAAGGGAATGTCGAAGAACCCATTTCTATTTCATTATCCTCAAGGGAAAACACCAGAAAGATGTTTGTCTGAAATTAACATTTAGATGCAGAAACCGTCATTCCTTGTCTGAAACCCATCTACCCAGCCCCTGCCCCAAATAGTCTAGTGTGAGGTGGAAGCCTTAGCAGCAGAGCCAAACTAAGATCCTAAAAAGGCAAACAGTGACAGTTTCCCCAGAAGCAAATCTATGTTGTATTTCATGAAATGCCCGTGGTTCGAGGGAGCGAGAGTTTGCTTTATCCTGGGTTTTCAGTCCCCACCCGAGAGCTGTGAACTTTGGTCTTCTCGTCTCTGCATTTCCTTTCTCCACCACGGGAAGTTGTCTCCTAACTTTCGTCTCTTCCAGTTTGCAATCAGAACCCCCCGCCTGTTGTTTTATCTCCAGTTGCTATTCTGAACACGGGAACTGCAGATGCAATGCAGAAGTGGACCCCGTGCTGACACAGGTGGGAATCCTACCAGGACCCCAATCGGGGAGGGGGGCTCCTTGCATTAGAAGCCAGGAGGGAAAAACCATGCAGCTTAGCATGGGGAATTTGGCAGGCAGGGGTCCGGTTTAGTTTGTCATAATGTAGCCTTAAGCTTGAGGTCTAATATGTTCCTATAAGGTGGCAGTGATCTCATTACAGCCACATATACCATCCAAGGTGGCAGTTCAAAAAGTCTTAGCCCCCCCCCCACACACACACACACACAGATCTTGTGCTTGCTGCTTGGATTTCAAGGGTTGAGCCAGAAATATAGTTGTGCCCACTTGGGAGTATACCCCATGTCCTTATAAACCAGTCACCTTGTTTGGGAATCAAATGGTCATGTTCACCCTTAATTTTGGTTAATCCATAAGTCTTCCTTAGAGGTGTTACTATTTGAAAGTAGCCATTTGACCTTGACTTCTTGGGATAGAAGTGAAAGCTGGCAGGAGCCTGCAGATTTGTTCACCACAAACATGGTTGTCTGCAACCTTGACCACGGCTGATCTGCAATCAAGCCTTCCAAAGCAATGCATGTGCAATGGTC